CCACTTGCCAAAATGTTTAGCACAACAGTACGTATACTTAATAACGGATTGTATGTAGTCGATGCCGTACGCCAAATCCCAAGCGGTGTACGAAAATCCTTGCTCAACGACGTAATTGCGAAATACTTGCCATAAACTCGAACTGTAAAGCGCATATAAATTTGGTGCTCGATGGCGATACTAAACTGAATTTATTTTTGAGAATACGAACAGTTGGTGCATGCGGCAGACACTCCGGTTCTTACGAGAGATTTCTTCATATATTCCAAATCCATTTTTTATTTTGAAAAATAGTTTTTGTAAAATATAAAATTTGAAATAAGCAGTGTTTTGTGCATTTCGGAATTCATTCCCTCTCTGCACGCATATACGTTTGTATTTATAAAATACAATAAATCATAAGGTATTAGCCTTAACTCAGTTAGGGGAATCTTTTAACCATTTATATAATACATAATAACTTAACATGATAATAAACTAATAGCCAAATAAAAAAGTTAAGAATATCAAAGAACATCATTTCGAAATTGCTCAATAAATACTTAATACTATGTTCAGACAGCCAAATTTCCTTACTTTCGTAAAAATGAAATTAAGTTAACTTCGAAAGTGTTTATACTGCACCAAATAAAGGAAATCATATGTTTTTTGTTTACAAATCGAATGTTAAAAATTACATGCTCCAAACATCATTTGTATCTGGGAAATTTTAAAAGTTGATTATTATAACTATAAAGAATGACATTCAGTAATTTTATTAGGTTTAGTAGATTTCAGGTATGCGAATTATTGTTTTTTACTCTGTTTTGAATTTTTTTATTAAAGTCAGTTTTCATTGACATTTATTTAAAAAAAATTCAGTTTTTCGTTATCTCAACTTTATCTTTTGCTTAAAATTTATCTTAGGCATAGTTGCATTTGAAATGTCCCTTAATTTCAGCCTTTGTTTAAACGAAATTAAGGAAATTTTCCTTAATTTCGTTCTAATCTTTAAACTGAATTTTGTAAAAAAAGAACAACTTAATTTCACTGAAACAAAGATGGAATTGAGATTTTTGCAAAATTACGGTATGTCTGAACATAGTATAAGTTCGATTAGAATATAAAAGCATTATTTACTTAAAAACTGATTGCATTGTGATATAAACTCATTAAAGCAAATACACAACCTATCTTAAACGTTTTTAGACTATCTTAAAAACTGAGATAACTGTCTTTAGAAGAGATTATTTATTATTTATTTACTGTTATTTAAGATAATTATTTATTAATTAACTACACAAATAACTCCATATTCCCAGCAATAAATATAAAAGCGCAACAAGGGAACCAAAGGAAAAAACCAAGAAAAATTAGGTTTTGGAATCGGTTTTCCCAACAAAATTTTATTTATATTTCACCCAACAGAAAATGCAAAAAATTGAATGTAAGTACAATTAATATTTAAAATTAATTTCAAATGTTTTTTTCTATTGAATAAAAACCCCCAAATGTAACAGAATTTAATGCTTCAAATAAATTTTATTCTTTTAGTTACAGTTCGTTCGATATTTTCCACGATGATGGTGCGATCAGCTGAACTATTGGAGCTAAGATGATTGCATCTTTGAATTCATGTTCGTTTTTATATGGACACCTCAAATCTTAACTTTGCGAGGTTTCATTCTACGCAAGGCAATACACCATAATGGTCCTTTTAAATTCTACTACCTTGAGTTTTAGGAAAGAAATTAAAGAAATTCAATCATTTAAAATCTAAACAACAAATAAACACGAGACATTGAGTTTCATTACACGCGTAATTTTTATTTTTTCGTACGTGAGTTTACAAAGCGTATTATAATTTTTAAAATAAATATTTTTACAACATTTTGTCACTTTTACGCGTAGACTCTGAATAAAAAAAACGAACAAATAAGTGCCTTGTTTGGAAAGTGTCTTGGAAAATCAAAGAAATTTGATTGACAGAATTACCATCGGTGAAATGCTGCTAATACTCAATCCTACCATTTTTAAAGGCAAACTTTACGGACTATAAAAAATGGATTAAATATCAAAATAACTAATGCAAACGATCAAAAACCGGTGACATTCCGCAAACAATTTTAAAGCATAAACTAACGACAAACAATGTTAAATAGAGTGTTTAGTAGTATTGGAAGAAAATTGTCTATTACTAGCTATGCCAGCCTGATTGATTCTGTCAACTACTCCTGCAAAACTTGACGGCTTTAAAATGTGATCTGTCGACTGAAATCGACAGATCACATACATCTTTAATGATTCGTCACGAATTTACGAAACTTGGTTAAGAAGTTTTAATATATCCAACATTTACCCTGGACCTTGCCAAACTCTCATAATGGTAAAAAATTCACTAATCAAAGACCCGCAGAAAATTACTTAGACAAGTTTTTCGCCGGTAAATTACAAAAGTTCTACAATCGAAACTCCATTCGGTAACAATATTGCATGTATGTGTGACTACAATATATATGAAAGTGATGTAGAGAGAGTATTAACACTTTTAACTTGAATTGGTATGTTTTAGTTATTAGTCCGCTATTTTATATATATACATATAAAACTGAAATATAAACAAGTTGCCCATATAATCGAAGTATGAACCATAAGAAACATAATGAACTTATTTAATATAATTCAAATGTAAATGTGTCTTAAACAGCTAACCAATATGTCCATTTTTTTTTTTGGAGCGGTGTGACCTCACTAGTT